GGTGGGTCAAGGTCCTGCTTGACCAAGTGGCTTCCTACAGAAGCACTGGAGACATTTCTCTCTCTACTGACCCTCCTTTCAGCGCAGTGTATACTGGTTCACTCCTGTTCTCTAGGATCCAACAATCTCCCTGATTAAGATGTTGAGTGACTCACTAGAGTTGTAGGAAAGGTGATGGAAAGGTCCCCTCATATCCTGGTTCCTTTTTGACTTTAAAGGGTCAGGGCCAAAATGTGAGCTCTAGTCTTAGCTCAGTCATCCTTTTTTGACTTTGCTCTCCAACCCTCAGGTGTAGCACCCAGTTACACCTGGTGAGAAAAGTCACACCACAACTGCAATAGGAGCAGGAAGTTCAACTATCATATCTAGATATCAAGCAACTATATAAAGTATGAACAGAAAGCTCTTAATTTTTACCAACATGGTCATATTTGAAATCAATTTTTTTTTCAATGTATTTGGTACAGGGTCTCACTATGCAGCCCAGACTCATAGTGATCCTCCTCTTTTCAACTTCCCTAGTGCTGGGATTACAGGCATGCACCACCTTGCCCGGTCTCAGTGGTCAACTCCTTACATCTGGGGGCAAGGATAGTGTGGCATGCGGTGCCTGGGATCGAACCCTAGTCCCTGTGCTTGCCTAAGAAAGTGCTTAGTCCACTCAGCTATCTTGCCAGCCTTTGAGGTCAAATTCTTATAGAGCACTAACAGATAGTTTTAAAAAGAAGATTTGAGATTAAGGCCAATGTAGTATTTTAGCAGGCCAATCATGATTAGATTATTATCTCTGAAACACATTCAAGTTCCCATTTTAGTATAAAATAACTTTTTAGACAGATAAGGTTATCTACTTACAAAATGTTAAATGACATAGAGAAAATTTTACTTAATTTGTTATCTTTCAACCATCTTCTATTACCAGAGTGCCACACAAGTAAAATATACTTGTTTATAGATATACTTAATGTGTAATATTAGGGTCACGCTTGTAATGCCTGTCATTCTGGTCTTCTAAATATGTACTTCTTGTCATGACATACCAATTACTACCATACTGTCTCAAAAGTAAAAAAATTTTTAATGGGTAATAAATGAAAAAAAAGACACAAGAAAAATGTCACAGGACTGTTCTGCTACAATGCTGTATATGGGTAGGTTCTAAATTTCTGTGTAAAAAATATGTAATTGTTTATTCATATTCTTTAAACACTTCATTTTTTAAATTTTGATCCCCATATTCTGTAGAGACTTAATGTTTAACGTATCAATACTTGATGGAAAATACCTGTTCCATGTTATGCCTAAGATGTTTGATGTTCAGACATATAGGGAAGTTAAACCCAATGGCATATGTTATAGGGTAATAAGCTCCTCTTCTGGAGAGTTAACAACCTAAGTTTGCAGACCAAAAATTAGAGAGAAAGAAGGGTTGCAAGGACAGCCAACATTTTGACCCTAGCCTCTCAAAGTCAATGAAGACTCAGGACATAGGAGAACCTATACTGAAACATCACGTAACTCAATTGTGTCCCGAATTTTCTGATCAAGGAGATTATAGGGCCACAGAGCAATGTAATCAATGGTGTAGAGTGTACCTAAGGAGTCACATGGAGAGAAAATATTCTCTCAGGCTTTCACAGAGAACAAATTGGTCAAGCAACGGCCATGACTCATCCACATGGCTGACACTGACAAAGGATCCACAAACTGAGGTACAGGGTCTCAGGATAAATCCTAAGGGTACTTGACCAATCTTATCAGATACAAAAGCTACAATTCTTATTGCATAGGTCTTGCTTTGTCTTGGTCTTAATCATCCATCAGAAAAGTATAAAAATGAGGTATATAAAGTGAAACCATATTAATATGCTGAGCTGTGAAAGGCTCAAGTCAACAACTTTTGTGGATAACCCACTACTGTTGTGGACTGCTGGACTGTGTTGGATTACTTTGCTGAATTCACATACCTATAGTATTTAGATGCCAATGGAATATTCATTTCTGACAGGACTAAAAAAAGGGGGGATACAAAGGAAGGACCATTTTGTATCTGTATATGCAGAATAGTTAGGATAGATATACAGCTACTTTCGCTTAATTCAAAGAGAAGAAAGATTTGTACTAATAGTGTTGGACAGGATATCTTGTCTGCATCTTGTACTATGGATAACCACTAAGAAGATAACAATGCACAATGTATTAATTATTGAAACTGCCTTATTAATCGGTTTTGAAACTGTCTTATTGCTATTTGCTTCTCAATAAAATAAAATAAGAATCTGAAGGCCAGCCAAGTAGCTCAGCAGATTAGAGCACCTGCAAGCAGGCTCACGGCCTGGGATTCAATCCCCAGGCCTGCTGGCCCCACCCCCAGGGTGTGCTGAAACAGAAATTGAGACTGGACATGGTGACACATGCCTGTAATCCCAGCTCTTGGAAGGCTGTAAACAGGCGGATCACTATGAGTCCAATCTAGTAGTAAGACCCTGAACACCCTGTAGGCCCTTCCCTAAAATACAAAAAAATAAATAAATAAATAAAAATTTAAGATAGATAGATAGATAGATAGATAGATAGATAGATAGATAGATAGAGATATACTTTATAGGTTATTAATGTCTGATCATTAACCATTATACTGAAATTGTCTGGGTTGAATAGTATTTAGGCACCTCTTATAATATTATATAACAATCACACAAACAACTGGGGGCATAGCTCAGTGACACAACACCTGCCTGGCAAAAGCAAGTTCCTGAGTTTCATTCTTGGTACAAAAAAAAGTAATAATCACGCAAGTAAAGCAGTCTCAGTATTCCATTTCATAAGCATGGGGTGGGGATGAGGATCAGGCTAGACTGCCCAGGGAAGCCTGTTCCTCCAGACCTAAGAAGAGCAGCTGTGCTTATTGCTTTTATTTAGCCAAAGAAGGCCATGTTTTATATGAGGCACATTGTTCCCCCAATGTACTCTACCACTGGGAAAATAATAGTGGGATAAGGCTATAAAGTTGAAAAAAAAAAAGAATGAGAGATCATAAGTCTCTGTCTCCTAAGTGGAATCATGGTTAACAAGAACATGTTGCTAAGAGAAAAGAGCAATAAAACTCCTCATTTGGGGCTTATTTCCCATTAATCTCTGATCCCAGATGAGCCTCCAAAATGTTCCCATGTGTTCTGGGTTTGTGGTTCTACAAACGTCAGGAATGAAGGCACAAACCAAAGGAGGAAGTTAGGAAAGGTTTACTGGAAATAAGGAGAAGAGTAGCTCCAGGAGTCCCTAATGAGATGGTTCTGTGCATTTTGAAAGTGAAAATGTTGAAATAAGGATGTCTCTCATAAAATGATAAATATAGCTTGCTAGCCACTCTGGAGAGGGAATTACTCAGCTCCAATGAAAAGGAAATCTAGGATGATAGCAAGCAATGGGCACTGCATGTCTACTGTGAGCCATTTATCTGTCCCCTTCCATTCCTGTGTGAACATTGGCATTCTTCTCAAATGAAGAGATGGAGAAACTAAGGTAAAGGAAGTCTCTCCCTGCCAGTCTGGGGATATGTGTAAATGGGGACTAGACCCCTATACCCCATCTGTCTAACATTAAGTTCATGGATCTTCCAGTGTTAATTTTTGTGTGTGTGTGTGTGTGTGTGTGTGTGTTTATTGCCTAGTGATCAGGGCCTCAGAATCTGGTGTCCAACTCTGGAGTTAGTTTTTATGATCTGACTTCAGCACTAACTCATCATATCATGAGTAATATAATGACCATATCATCTGATCATATACAAAGTATGACCAGAAAACCCTTAATTGTTACCAACCATGGTCATATTTGAAGTCAATTTTTTTCAATGTATTTGGAACAGGATCTCACTATGCAGCTCAGGCTCATAGTGATCCTCCTATTTTCAACCTCTCCAGTGCTGGGATTACAGGTATGCACCACTGTGTCTGTCCTCAGTGGCCAACTCAGTGCATCTGAGGGCAGGGCCAGTGTGGCATGTGGTGCCAGGGATCGAACCCCAGTCCCTGTGCTTGTCTAAGCAAGCACTTAATCTGTTGAGACATCTTGCCAGCCCTAGAAGTTTCTTAACCATGAAACTTGCTTTGATTTTATCATTGCTGAAATAAGTATTGAAAATAACAACTTCCTGTTATGGTAATTATCTTGATTGAAGACTTAGAATAGAGTCTGGCACACAGGAGTATTAGCTAGTTTTATGACTCTGATTTATTTGTTGAGCCCACACATATTTATTGAGCACCAGTTCTGGGTCAAACAGGTCACTACATGGTAAGTGTGTGAGTAGGCTCAGGCTACCTTAGCAAAATACCTTGGGCTGGGAAGCTTAAATAATAGAAATTTATTGTCTCACGGTTGCAGCAGCTGGGAAGTCTAATGGGCTCTGGTGTCTGCTGAGGGATAGCTTTTGGACCTGCAGATGCGCACCTTCCTGTGTTCACAACTGACCTTTTCCATTATGTGCTCACAGAGGGAAAGTAGGCTCTCTCAAGTCTTCCTAGAAAGAGCAGCAACCTCTCCCCAAAGGCTTTCCCTCAGAACATCCTATATGGCTTCTCAGCCTTTGCACTAAGATCAAGTGTTAGCCCATTTACCATCCAAGTGTGTGATCTCCAAATATTGTTATATCAGGAGTTAGGGCTTCAGTATATGAATCTGAAAATATACTGAACACGGAGGGTATAATGTTGACTGGGTAACAGGCCCTCTGGCCACAGAATCCTTTCTCAAGAGGACACAAACATTACCAGGTGTGTTTATAAATTAGTGTAAAGTCACAGGACTAATAATGCCAGGCAGGGGAGCTAAGATCTAATCAGCCGCCGATCACTTGGCTTCAGGCAGGTGCTTCCCGGAGCGCTCAGATCTGACCCTTTTCTTTGTGCAGAGTGCAGTAGTCTTCCCCACCTCTCAGTGAGAGCCCAGAGCAAGTCTCCCAAACTCACCTGCTGCTTCTCTCTCTCTTCTTCGAACTACAGCTGGAATACACAGCCCGCCTAGACTTCCTTTGGCGAGTACAAGCCAAGGAGGAGATCAATGAGATGAAGGAGCTGAGGGAACACAATGAGAACATGCTCCGCAATATCTTGCCCAGCCATGTGGCCCGCCACTTCCTGGAGAAAGATCGTGACAATGAGGTGAGCCCAAGCTTGTGTGGCCAGCAGGCGGGGATGGTGGGGATGCTGCCTATCCACTCACACTGATCGCAACTTCTAGGAGGATTTCTCTGTCCTCATGTAAGAACGTGAGAATGAAGATTGTGCCTGTTACCTGGTGCCAGCCTGCCACTGTGAGGTCTACTCCTGACCTTCCCTGACCTGTAGTACATCATCAATTAGACGGATATGAGGTCTCCATTGTAAGCGCAGATGGGAAGTATTTAAGCGCTATGTGTGTGCATTTATATAGATGTAGGTAAATGTAACTACTGGTGCAAATGTATATGTATGTACTGTGTGTATCAGGCAAGTCCACTTCTGCAAGTATACAGAACGAATTTAAAGAAGGTTCTCAGAGAGATATATGTAAACCTAGAAGCACAATTTACAGTAGCCAAAAGGTAGAAGACACCTCAGTGTCCCTCAGTGGATGCACAGATAGACAAAATGTGGCGTGTACATAACGCAATATTATCCAGCCTAAAAAAAAAAAATAAAGGAAGTTTTAACACATGCTACAGCACAAATAAAGCTTGGGTTAAGTGAATCAGCCAGACACAAAGGTGTACAAGTTCTGTGTGATTCTGGGTGATAGCTAATGTGCTCAAAGTCATGGAGTCAGAGTGGAGCGGCAGTTGTAAGGGGTTAGAGGGAGGACACAAGGAGCGAATGGTTCATGGATGCAGAAAGAACTTCCATTCTGCAAAGTTTTGCAAAAGTTCTAGGAGAGTGTTGAGAGCTGCAGAAGAGTGGTTATTCCCCTTCTGGGTGCCTTCTCAGAAGAATTAAAAACATGACAACACAGCGATGTATGTGCACCCATGATTTAGCAGCACGATTTGTAATAGCTAAGCCTTGGAAACAACCCAAATGCCCATCAGAGAGGAATGGATAAAAAAGATGTATTTTTATACAAGGGAGTATTACCCAGCTATAAAAAATATAAACTCAAGGCTTTTATAGGTAAATGGATGCAACTAGAGACCATACTCATAAGTGAACTAAATCAGACTCTCATGTATAAATATCATATTTCTCCCTACTGTAAGAAACTGAAAGAGCAAATAAAATACAAAAGGTACAATGGATAGAGTGGAAGGAAAAAAACTGCTCAAAAGGAAAGAACAACCTGGATGAGGGAAAGGAAACGAGAAAGAATAGCTAAGATAATTGTGCTACTAATTTACATTAGTTCATTTAAAGGAACAGTTAGTGTTTATATTGTTTGATCAATCTTATACGCCTATATCTGGTATTCTGACCAACTACTTTGAAGACAACACTGCAATTTAACAGCCATTCTTAATTTCCTATCGCCTTGTTTTGAAATTCTTTATCATTTTTATTGTTTTTATTATCTTTAAAATAAAAAGAAAAATGATAATGTATATAACATTAATATTACACATATACATATGAAGATATATGATGGATAAATAAATAGATCAAGTGTAGATAAGGTGTGGGCGTGCATATTCCTAATGCCTAGCACTTACTAGGTGCTCAAAAATGCTCTTTTCACTTAAAGCTGGTTAATCTTATCATATAATGCCTGAAGGACACTCTGTGAAGGCAACCCACAAATCTGAAACCAAGGAGCTGCGAGGCTCAAGCTCCCTCCAAAGGGTTTTCAGATAATTCTGGCATGCTTTTTCCAGCTTCATGTGGCCCAGATTCGTCCTTGGCACATGGCCCGTTCTAATCTCTGCCTCCCTTTGCGTGGCACTTCTTACGAGGACACATGCCCTTTCCTCTGAGGACATCAGACTTAGGGCCCACTCGCATCCAGAATGACTTCATCTTCACCTAAACACATCTGCAAAGACATCACTTCCAAATGAGACCACACTGTGATGTCCCAAATGGACAGGAATTTGGGTAGAACACTATTAATCCACAACAGGGGTGAAGGTAAGGCAGCAAGTGATATGGGTGGAAACTCTGGTGGACTGTGCTGGAGCTTTAAGTGGAATGGGAGCCTTGAGGTTTCAGAGCATAGCAGAATCAGTTAGCTGCTGGTAGAAAATAGATGTGGAGGTCACAAAGCCAGAGTTATTTAAGAGATTTTTTAAGAGAGCAAAAAGTAATAGAAATACATTGGATATATGTGCTGCCAAAGCGAGCACTAGAAATACATTGGAGATGATACATAATTCCAAAAACATGTTGATATGAATTCAACAATGGTTGTTATACTGCCTATTGTTGTCTTTAAAGTAGTTGTCCAGATTATCAAATATAAGCATGAAAATTGTTCAAAACATATTAAGTATTAACTGTTCCTATCATCTATAATCTGAGGTACAGGATCTCAGGATAAATCCTGAGGGGATTTGACTGACCTTATCAGATCCAAAAGCTACAACTCTTGTTGCATAGGTCCTGCTTTATCTTGGTCTTAACCATCCAGCAGAAAAGT